TTGTTTCCACTTGCAGGGGATATCCAATTTTGGTCAACCTATAGGGCATCCACATAGCCAATAGCATACTATAGCGACTCCAAAGAGATATCAGCACAGCCAGGCGTCTAGCGTAATGGTAAAGACGTTCCATTCCTTGGTCCAGATCTCGGGTTTGACTCCCAGGTATCAGACCTTTTTTGAGAAATTAAACCCCGATGGCACACATGGTACAAGTGACACGCAAGCCGTCAGGTCTCACAGGTCGGATGGAGATGGAGAAAGGTCCCATCACACGTGACACGTAAGCTATTGGGTCCCACAGGTCGGATGAAGAAGGGTCCCACAGGTACACATCGGTTCGAGAAAGGACTGAGTGGAGACTTTTATGATGAATTGCAAGCATCATGGATGAGTAACTATAGGTCCCACAGACACACGTCGGATGGAGAATGGTCCCACAGGTACATGTCGGATGGAGAAAGGACTGAGCAGGAGGCTTTATGACGAATTGCAAGCATCACGGATGAATAATTGTAGGTCCCACAGGTACACGTCAAATGGAGAAAGGACCATGTGGAGATTTATGATGAAGTGCCATTCGTTATAGATCGAAACTTCATCACAGATGTGTAATTAGTTCAATGACGAAGCCCTAGTCATCACAGTTCTAAAGAGGATCATCACAGATGAGTAGGAACAGTCACGCGAGGGTTTTGGTGATGAACCTCGTGTTGTTCTATGATGTTTTCACGTGACAATGCCTTATTTCATCATAAATCGGGAGGGTAGGAGGATCATCACCACTGATCTATGACGAAACATAAATATTCGTCATAAAAATCGATATTATATGACAGTTTTAGATTCATCATTAAGATTTTCATCGTAGAAGTGGATATTTCTAGTAGTATTTCCTTGGCGGTTTAATCCTTTTCCTTGGTGGTTTTTGGCACTAAGGAAATCTATACAGTTCTAGGGTTTATCCTTGTTCTTGAGTATAGAGAGAGAGGGGGGTGAAGCAAATGAATGAGTGAGTGAGAGTGGGATGAAGTGGAGTGGCTTCAACTGATGAAGATCTCCAACTTATGCTAACATGTGGGTCCAAGCAAATGCAATTGGAAAATAGCTCATTTTCCACTTACCTTCACTGTTCTGTAATTTATCGGATGGTCCGGTAACTCTGGCGGACTCTCCGGTGATCCTTTGTCTTTGTTGAATTGATTGAATGGTTGGGAGACTTGGTATTGGAGACCAAGATATTATATCCAAGGGTGATTTCTAGCCTTGAGAAGGTGTTGATGATGTCAATTGGTTGTCTTCTGATCTGAGTATGAGTTTCCCATTCTCTCGATCACTAACCTGACCATGTCCGTTCTGGGAGTCTTCGCGAGGTTGATTGATGAATTCATGATAGCAACATGGGTCCAAGGCATCAAGGATCTCCACGGGTGAACAAGTATCTAGGCTCAAAGCTTTCAGTAGCTATTTTGCAGAGCTAGGGTAGAGGTTCAAATTGGAACGACATTTTGGGTCATTACACTTGGGATCTACGCAATTACAGGTAGAAGTCGAACGAGACCCTCTGCGAGTACATCCATGACAAGCTCATTATTATTGGCACGAGCACCATACAAATAAATAGTACATCCACGAGCATTTTTTCTAGTCTATATCTATATCTATTAAAGAGCAAACTTTCGTCTCTCACTCTCTTCACTCTATCTCTGTTCATGTGTTCCTCGCTCACTAACTCACTGCTCATATGTCCCTCAGCCTATCGTCCCCCACTCTCATCCTTCTTGTTTTAAGTTTGGAGCTCCAAAACCTTCATTGATGCCACACTACCCATCTCTTGGCTTGACCACTCAAACCCCTTCGTATTGTGGCACACATATGTGATCATGTGCCTCGTCTTCCATATTTTTGAAACTCATAACAGATACACAAAATAGCCACATATTTAAGTTGAGTTAATTTTCCACACGAGATTAATTATTTATTGCACTAGCATTTATATGACACTTAGAATCTATATCTATATTTATATCTCTTATAATTCTAAACTCCACTAACTATTTATCTCAACATGCAAGATGTCCAACCAGATAATGCACTATCATAAATAATTAAAATCCACTGGTAGATGCAATTGTAATGTCCACATCAGTAAGACACATAGACATTTTATTGTCCACATCATCATGCCATGCAATCCACTAATCCATAATTCCTGCTACAATGCGCGGGGTATGTTTTTGGTTTGATATATTGGCCAAGCCCATTTAATCTAACGAAAATAGCCATCTAACTCATTACTACATACAGACATACCACGGTTGGTTCGTAACCCCCCATTGTAGCCGTTTTTTTGGCCTCGATAGTATACACTCGATGGTGATACTCGAAGCCATCACGGTCGGCTAGCAACCGACTGTGTCGGATCTCAACACCACCACATTGGTCAATGATCTGCTTGTGTCGAGGCTAATATCACTATCGTATGAGCACATCAACCGTCTATGTAGTGGTCACCAGCACTGTCGCCTTGTACTTTGACCAGACTGTCTGTAGTGCGGATTCACCGTCGCTTCGACTGCCGAGATGTCTGTGTAGAGGTAAACATCACCGTTACTTCAGCGTATGAACCGTAAGTACAAAGGTCATGGTCACCGTTGCCTTGCACCATGACCCACCTTTGATAATCGTTTAGTCAGTGTCGGGTTACTAAACGATTCGATGATGATACACTTTTGATCCCTGCCGTATCATACGTATAGCGATGGTGTTGGACATTTGCATCACCACCGACGGTGATGATAACAAAACAATGAACGACGCTTAGATCCGACGGTGACAGAATTTCATCCGATTTCACAATATTTACTAATTCAGCTCGACCCTTAATAGCTTACTGAACACAAAGCATATAAATATAATTATTATATCCATAAATCATGTTCACAAACAAGAGTACTTTTTACAATAATAATGGACGCTGCCATAATATCTTTCTCAACTGATATCCTAACACAAGTGGTGCATAGATTGCATACTAAAGTTACTAATCTCTACAGACTTACGTAACGAAACGACGTAGTTATGCTCCTCATATGTGGCACTCTTGCTTATAAAGTAAAATGAATATACATAGTGCATCCTTCGGATTGATAGCCAGTGCACCATATAACCCTTCTTCTTCATCTCTGATCCACCACCTGAACAAAACAACATAATTAATAATATTTAACATAACATTTCTTTAGTTAACAAGCCAGAATTTGCCTATACATACATAAAATAAAAACAAGTCCCTAATTGAACAAAGATATGTTGTGATGATGAAATACAGCAAATGCACATTTACTGCTCTGCTAATGACTCCATGAACACATAAACAAGGAAACATAAGGAAGATAGTAACCAAAGCGGATGACACGGGCATAGATGATATGAACCTTTCTGCGGTCTATGTCATATGTAGGGGTGAAAACGGTACGGATATTTTCCGACCGTATTCGAGATCGAATCCGTTTAGAGGAGTTCAAATCTGTCCGTATCCGAGTCCGGATATTCAACATCCGATACCGTATCCGTATCCGAATAATCAAATCGCATATTTATGATGTCAATATCCAATCATATCCTATCCGTCATGGTTGACAATATCCGTATTTGAATCCGAATTCGGACATAAATATGAAAACAAATGTAATATCAATGATATTCGTTCGTATCCGATCCGTTTTCATCCATAGTCATATGCAATCAGCCCGTGTTCAGTTGCAAAAAAAAGTTCTCAAAAAGTGCTACAGTATCCATCACATCGAATCTTGCGATACATGCATGGAGCATTAAATATAGATGAAAAAAAACTAATTACACAGTTTGGTGGAAAATTACGAGATGAACGTTTTGAGCCTAATTAGTCCATGATTGAACACTAATTACCAAATAAAAACGAAAGTGCTACAGTAGCCAAATTCCAACTTTCCCCTCAACTAAACAAGGGCTCAGTGTTCTATCCTTCCCAACAAGGAAAATAAAATTCTATTCTAGGTAAACTGGAATTACTCTGTACTCCACATCACAAAGCTCAGGAACCAACTTTAATATTAATGTGTCCAAATAGTTCCTCCGTGTCCAAACATGCTTCAATCTCTATTTATGAGGACCATAGTTTTCAAGTATCCACATTAAAAACCAAGACATATTGTCAAAATCAGCACAACATACAAGTGACCCTGAGCTTGATAGATGGACATTTCAGCACAACGTGGTTTATGATTTGCCCTCCATATCTTTTCCTTCATATCCACAACAACTATCACAGAGTAATCAAGCATATGCATAAAACCATTAAAAACACTTCTCGATTTGAACATAGTACAATACCCTCATCCCATTCAAATTCCTTAAAGATCCATGCTGTAGTTTTAGATTAGCACATGCTTTATTGCAGCATCACATAGCCTAATCATTGATTAATTAGGCTTAATAGATTGGTCTTGAAATTAGCTACAACTTATACAATTCGTTTTATAATTATCTCACATTTAATCCTTCTATTTGCCGTCTAAACATTCGATGTGGCAGAAACTAAAATTTAGTCCCGAGGATTAAAACCTACTATGGTTTTTTCCTTACGTGCTATGATTTTCTCTCTCATCATCATCGTCGTGATGGTCTCCCTCTCTCTTCCCTTTCTTTTCCCTCCTTTTCCAGATATCAGAGTCTGTTTTCGTTTTTTTTATTTTACCCGTGCCGCTGCAGGCCACACCATACCCTTGCCTGCCTGCCAGAGCCTGACCTCATCTCATCATCGCCTCCACCTCACCAGAGAAATCCTCTCCTCCTCCCTCGTCCCTAGCCAATTTTTTCTATCAAACCCTCTTCCCCCATCTCAGATCCCTCTCCCGTCCCAGCTCGATCCTGCCCGATGGTCGCCGGACCGTACGCCGCCGCCCGACGCTGAGCAACCAGGACAACCACCTCCGACGACCCCCCCGAGCACCCACGAGATGGTCGCGGAGGCGGCGCCGTCCTCCTCGTCGGCGATCTGGTCGCGCCGCCGCGACGAGATCACCTTCGACCGCCTCCACAAGGTACCGCCCCTCCCGGGCTCGCCCCGATCGGATCTGCTCACCCGCCCACCCGCCCGCCCGCCCGCCAGCCCGCTGACCCTGGCCGGAGTCGACGCCACGGATCTGAGGCTCCCGCCCTGCTGCTCCCGGGCCTTTCCCGCGCCCCTGCCCGTGCTCCGACGATCCGCGGAGCTTTTGGTCGCGCCCGGGGATGACGCTTCCTGCGAGCGCTGGTTTCGTCTGTAGGGTTTGATTTGATTTGCTGCTCGCCTGTGGGAGGATTCTATTAGGTTGGACTGCTCCGTTTTCTCAGCTGGCGTGAACTCCCTGCGGTGATGCTGGGTGTTGCATGGAGCAGACAAGCGCTTGACTGAAGAGTCTGATTGGTTTGTCCCATTTGGATATTCGGATGTGTTGAATTGAGTTGAGGGAGCTTTTTCGGGTGTGTTGCTGCTAAGCTAGCTGTCCAGAGAAGTGGGGGCTGGCTGAATTGTGAAAAGCAATCAATCATAGCTAACTGCTTGGCTGACTGATCAGATTGGCTTGTCTCGCTTCTGGACAAACAGAAGGAATGAAGGTGCTGTAAGCTGAATCCCTTACTACTGGTGTTTATTTGCTAACTGAGGAGCAGTAATGGCGGCAAACCAAACTTTGGATAGTATTCACTCCATCCTGGTTTGATCAGCCAGCTTCTTGACTCAACCATCGGATTGGTTTGTCTCATTCAGGCACATGGATGTAATATGTTCGAGCCATTATAGGTGATGTTGCTGCTGTGCTAACTGACCATAGTTGTGATGCAGACAATCTGGATTCTTAAGAGTGCTTATTGGTGCTTGGTTAAGAGAAATATTGAGTAGGAAATCATTGCCACCTATGCCTTATCCATTGCACTTGTTTGCGGTTGTCACACTATATTTACCTATACCTAGGGGTCGTATGTGTGTTCCTCTTCCATTTCATTATACTTACTGTTAGGTTGGCCTACAAACATTTTATTCCAGGTAGAATCATATTTACGAAATGGTGTCATTCCTAGTTTATTCCTAGGGTTGTTCAATGCACTATACTACTTTCACATTTTCTCACAGAGAGCTCATGATTGGCATGACACTGTACATTGAATTGATCACTAATTGCGATTGACTTCTTGAATGCACTGTCTGCTTTATTCAGCCCTGAGATGTGCAATAATTTTTTTATGCATACTATCAGAATTATCAGTTTTCAAGATCAGAATTGAATACTCTAACTGATATTTTATTCCTGTGAATTCAATTTGTTCCAGTTTTGGAGTGCCCTGTCACCTCATGCACAACATGAGCTGCTAAGACTTGATAAACAGACCCTTATTGAGCATGCTCGCAAGAATTTGTACTGCTCAAGGTGTAATGGGCTGCTTTTGGAAAGTTTCACACAAATAGTCATGTATGGGAAGTCACTGCTTCATGAAGGTTCATGTGAGCCAAGGATTCAGGAAGTTGAAGCAGAAGAAGTACAGGATCCTTCAGTTCATCCTTGGGGAGGCCTTTCGACAACAAAGGATGGCATCCTAACTCTTCTTGATTGCTTCATAAATGCAAAATCTCTTCATGTGATCCAGAATGTACGCCTGAAACAGTAGCCTTTGTTTTCTTTATCTTCTTGATCCGCTTCATGAACTTCTTCCTTGATATTTTTATGTGCTCTCCGATTGTCTGTTTTGGCATCTTTCTGTGGCATTCCTTCTCTGAAGTTGTTCCTTGACCATTCTAGAGTTCTTACTCCAATGTCCTCCACATTGTTTTGACTAGGTATTTGACAATGCACGTGCAAGAGAACGTGAACGTGAGATGCTTTACCCTGATGCATGTGGTGGCGGTGGCAGAGGATGGATTAGCCCAGTGATACCTAACTATGGCAGGGGCCATGGAACACGAGATACTTGTGCTTTGCACACTGCACGCCTTTCTTGTGATACTCTGGTGGATTTTTGGTCAGCGCTGGGTGAAGAAACTAGATCATCTCTTTTAAGGATGAAAGAAGAGGACTTCATCGAAAGACTTATGCACAGGTGAGTATAAAAGGTGCTGTTGTTTATACTATTTTTAACTAAATTACTGTGACAAATACTCTCAAGGCTGCAAGGGATTCAGGGATACAAGTGGGTTTGCCTCGGAACCCACAAATAGGTTATTCTAAGCAATCATTTAAATTGCCTATTTGTGGGTGTGCAGACAAACCACTTGCATCCCGAAGTGGTGCGCTATCATGAACAAGAATGAGATATTGATAGGGAATAGCTTTAAAATGTACGCGAATTGTTATTAGCATTACTTACTAATTTGTGGCTTTGTAAGATGAGTTGATTTGCTTCTTGATGCTGACATAAAATATCCTGAGGTATTTGAAATACCATACATAACATTTACTTATTCTACTAACACTGCGTCCAACAATCTAGTACAATTCTACATTGTCAGTGGGCCTGATGATAGTAACAATTATATATTTATAAATCCACAGATACATATTGCTTTTGTAACCTGGGTAAATCCATTATAAATTGGTCTGCATTTAACATTGGTCCCACTTTTTATTTCTTATAATGCACCACCTTCGTCTTGAAACTGGTAATGACAGTAAAGCTATGCTGTAAAGCTGTTGCAGCATACTCGTTCTAATGTTTTTATGCTTTGCACCATTCTTCCTGATACTTAAATGTCGAAAAAGCCTACAATCTGTAATGTAATGAGTAGTGACTGTATCATGATTTTACCTTTGTTATCCAATGCAACCTTTTGATGAGATGTTCTGTAGGGATATGGATGCATTTTCAGTCAATATCTAAATGGTTTACTAACTTTTTTGGATGAAATTCCTGTGCAGGTTCGACAGCAAGAGATTCTGCAGAGACTGCAGAAGGAATGTTATTCGCGAATTCAAGGAGCTCAAGGAACTAAAGCGCATGCGAAGGGAACCTCGCTGCACTAGATGGTTTTGTGTCGCAGATACCGCATTTAAGTGTGAGGTGAGGATACTATTCCTTGTCATCATTCCTATCTGCAAGCTCATGTTTGTTTTTGTCTCTTTTTCTTTGGGGCACGCATCCTGTTTTGGTAAAGACCATATGGAGAAAATTCCTATAAAGCAATAAGGGTCAAGGATCTTGCATTCACATTTTTAGTGTAGTAAGGTGACAGGGCTTGCCTAGTTAGCATGTTGACTTTTTTATTTGTATATTTGCAGGTGTTTGAGGATGCTATTCTTGTTGATTGGCATCAATCCTTATTGGAGCAAGATGGAATTTACCATCATTTCGAGTGGGCTATTGGAACAGATGACGGAAAATCTGATATTCTAAACTTTGAAAATGTGGGCATGAATGGGCAAGTCCACAGGAAAGGCCTCGATCTTGATCAGTTTGAAGACTATTTTGTTACACTGAGAGCATGGAGGCTGGATGGCCGCTGTACAGAATTCTGTGTGAAGGCCCATGCCTTGAAGGGCCAATCATGTGTTCACCGGAGGCTAATTGTGGGGGATGGATTTGTGACAATTACCAAAGGTGAAAGTATTAGAAGTTTCTTTGAGTATGCTGAAGAAGCAGAGGAAGAGGACGTAAGTGGCTTATATTTTAAATCATTAACATCAAACATGATCAGAATATTTGTTATTCAGCACTTGAACAAGCATGGATCTGGGAATTCATATAACCTGATTCAATGACATACTCATGAGCAGGAAGATGATGTAGTGGACAGAGACAGCAATGACCCTGATGGTGATATCGCTCATCCACAGAAGCATGCTAAGAGCCCTGAACTTGCAAGAGAATTTCTCCTGGATGCTGCTGCAGTGATCTTCAAAGAACAGGTAGTTATGGCACTGGATACATAGTACTGAATCAACTGTTGAGAAAGTAAAAGCTCATACTTAAGTGTTATTGAAGAACAAAAGTTTGTCTACTATCCTTCAATGAAGTGAAAATTGCCATTGTGCGCTTTCTCAGTGTCACAGTATTACCTGGAGTGTCTTCACTCTTCACTTTTATATATCAACCTGTTGGAAGAAGAAACTTTTTTTGTAGATGGCACACTGAATATCTCTTTTGTTGATGTTATTCTGTAATTAGTATGTTCTCCCTCCGTTCCAAATTATAAGACGTTTTGGCTTTTCTAGATTCATAGTTTTTGCTACGTACCTAGATATATGTTGTCTAGATACATAGTAAAAGCTATGAATCTGGAAATGCCAAAATGTCTTATAATTTGCGACAGAGGAAGTAATGCTTTTTTTAAATAGCCAGTACAACCGAAATAGTATTACCATTTTTAAGCTGTAAAACTATTTATGGGTATGCTACCACTTATCAGCATACTTGACGTTTAGTAATTGTACCAAAGATTATATATAGTCAGCATTATCTGCAGAGCAGTTGTGCTTACTAACCAGTCGAGTGATCTTTGAGAAATTAGACCAAAGCAGTAATCTCTTGCAAATTGTTGGTGTGTTTTACAGGTTGAGAAGGCTTTCAGAGAAGGCACAGCGCGGCAAAATGCACATAGTGTTTTCGTGTCCCTTGCTCTAAAACTGTTAGAAGAAAGAGTTCATGTTGCTTGCAAGGAAATAATTACATTGGAAAAACAGGTATTTATTTGATACCTTGATAGCAGTATAATGATTATGCCACTGGGAGTTTGCTGTTTCGCTTATCTGCCATCTTGAATCTATTATTTGTCTGTATGTGATATGATTTTTGTGTGTGCTATTTGAGTTTATGTATGTCACTGGCTAGTGGCACACACTCAAAGGCCACTGGTGGTTTCATTGGAGCGCACACAAATTCCAGTGCTAAATACACAAATAGCAAGACTGGATGAGACGAGCAAAGCAAGCACATCCAAATGGCATACACACAAATTGCCCTAGTAGCTGTAAAAGATGCAACATTGATGTGGATTATTCGCTTAACCTTTTGTGATGGATGCTAACATGGATTTACTCTTGCAGACCAAGCTTCTTGAGGAAGAAGAGAAAGAAAAACGTGAAGAAGAGGAGCGAAGGGAGAGGAGGAGAACAAAAGAAAGAGAAAAGAAGAATAGAAGAAAAGAGAGGCTGAAAGGAAAGGACAGAGATAAGGAAAAAACACTGGTTCGGTCAAAAAAATCAGATGATCTTTCACCATTTTCTCTGTGCAACCAAGCAGCACCAAGTAATAATGAGTCTCAGGATGTTCTAGACTTGAGATATTCAGATAGTGAAGAGGAAGACAATGTTGTGGTCAGGGAACACTATCCTGATTCCTCTGCTGATCAATCTTCAAGCAAGGACAGTGATGAAAGAAGCAATGAGCATGAATGCAGTGCGACAGCAGAATTTGTTCCCTCAGATTGTGATGGCCCATTTTTATGTGATGAGTCTAAATCATCTAGAAACCTGAGATTTAGAAGAGACTTCCCTCAAGAGAAAGATGCTAGTTATTGGTATGAGGATTGCCGTGATGACTCTGGAGATACTCAATGGCAGTCTAGGGAGAGGATCAGAAATAACACTAGAAATTACAACGCTGTATTTAATGCAAATAACCGAACAAGAGACAGGTACAACCCCTGCAGCTGTGGCCATCAAGAAGACTACAGATATTTTTCCACAACAACTAGATCAAGTAGGGAGACAAAGATGTCCAGGAAAACAGTGGCTGAGAAACCCAGGTTGCAATACCGCAGGTGCTATCCTCTGGATAGCTTCGCTGTGTCAAATGGAGGTCGTGTTGGTGGTACACCAAACAAGAGCCCAGGTCCAAAGCAAGTATGGGAGCCAATGGATGCAAGAAAGAAGATAGGGAATGCGAATAGTGCTACTGGGGCTGCTGATGGTTCAGATCAAGTGGAATGCTCAAAGGATATCAGTGAATGTGAAAAGCTTGAGGTAGTGTGTGAACCACTTGCTGAAATCTGTTCTGAGATATCTGCAGAAGCATGTAAGTCAGACACAGATCAACCATGCAGACAAGGTGAGAAGAATCAGTCTACTTGCAGCGATGGATCTAAATGCGTGGATAAGCCAAATTGCTGCTTGACAAAGGACACTGGTAGGACAGCAAACTTAACCAGTTCGGACAGCTCCTCGTGTCTAAGTGAGGGAGATAGAGATAGCAGCATGAGCAGCATGACCTCACTGAGTGCTCAGAATGTAGAGTCTTCATCTACGTCTGACTCAGAAGAGTCTTCAGACAGGAACAATAGCAGCCCAGGCGATCCACCAGCAAAGAATGTTTCTCGTTCATTACTTGAGATGTGTGCAGGAAATGGTTTCAGGGAGTACCAACCGAAAGGCTTGAACCCTCCTAATGGCAACCAATTTGGATTTATGGTGTCCCCTTTACAGGATCAGATGTTGCACCAACAGAAGGTCCATGCACCACCATACTCGTCACCAATCATGGGGTTCCACAATCACCCCTTGGCAGTTCCAACAAATGGATACTTGCCATATCCTCAGCCTGGTCACTTCTACCCTGGCCCCATGGCCCCTGTTGGATATGGAGTCGCTGGCAACCAGCGTGTTGACTTTCCAATGCAGTACACCAATAACATCCATGCTTACTCGGGCCCTGAATTTGGTTTTCTGCCTTCACAACCAGTTCACAAGACCCCAGTGAGCTTCCATGCCGTGCCAGTGCCACCACTGACCCCGCTGTGTAGAAGCGGAGTGCCAGTGGTGATAAATCAAGAGAGGCAGCAGAGCCCTGCCCCCTTCCCTAAATTAAAACAGGCAGCGCCGGTCCCTGAGACCGGCTGTGCAGAAGACTACACCTCCAAACAGAAAGGTGATGACGCAGACAGCACACCGTTCTCCTTGTTCCAGTTCAACCTGCCGATTGGCCCTCCGACCCTGGCAACATCCAAAGAAGAGCAAAGTGGTGCGATGCCGTCAACGGCACCGGCACCGGCTCAGATAGCTCGAGCCCAGCCGTGCTCGAGGGAGGAGACCAACGTCAAGGAGTACAACATTTTCTCCGGGTGTAACGGGGTGATGTTTCAGCTCAACTAGAGACGAAGAAAAGTGAGCAGCTATTCAATATACAGTGATACATGGTGAGTGATTTGTATTCTCGTAAAAACAGAATAAAGTAGATCGAGGTTTTTACTGTGTTGCCCTCGAATATTATTTCCTTTTTTCCATTTTGATTTGTTTTGCTTCCCCTCCCCGTTTTTGTGTGTATGGAAAACTGAAAAGATAGTGAGTGGTATAGATTCTGCAGTTTTGAGACACGAGCCATCGTGTAGTGTCACTTCTTTACCCCCTCGGATGGTTGTGTATATAATACATGCTTTCTCATGAGACGGACGGACAGAAAAGTTAGGTTCGCGTCACGACTCACGGCTGTAACCAACATGTGTTCAGAGGTGCCTGCAGCACAGCAATGGATTCACCTGCGTTGCAGTAACATTTTCCAACGAGGGGCTCGACCTCGCCTCCTCAACTGTAGCAAACTATTAGCGGTAATGCTCAGGGTCAGGCGTCCATCTGATCTGACGCCGCTTCTCGGGCTGCGCACGCTACTGGTCCAAAGCCTGCCTTCTTCTTTGTATGTCTCTCACATCTCTCTTAAAAATATCTTACTACTCGCTCGTCCATCGCGCACTTTACAGTGCCGTGCAGCCGTCAGCCCGTCCCACTCCGCATTCGCCGCAGCGGCTATCTCCTCCCCGTGCGCCCTCATCCTGTGATGCTCGCTCCACGCTCCTACCTGTCACCCACCCACCCCCGCCTCTCACTCCTTGCTCCCGCAGTCCCACCCGCATCGTCGGGTGCGCCACCCGCCTCTACTGGTGCTAGTGGTGCCGTCGCGCGCCTCATGTCGGTTCCCACCGAGCCAAGGGCACCCATGAGCGCGCCTCGTGCTGGTGGTGCTCACGCGATGCCGCTTGGCGTCGTCTCCCACTCTGAGGCCGGAATCAACCGGCCCTGGCCTCTCCTCCCCTATGTTGTAAATATATGTTGCAAATGTTTTAGAGGCATGTTGCAAGTGTTTCAGAGGCATGTTGTAAGCGTTTGTTCAAAATGTTTTATCTGTTTTAGATGTATGTTGTAAGCGTTTTTATCTGGATGTTACACGTTTCAACATATGCTGCAAAGAGTATGTTCGAAATGTTTCATTTGTTTCAGTCTTATGTTGCAATAAGTGTTTTTATGTTGCAAGTGGCAAATGTTTTATCTGGATGTTGTATATGTTTCACACACATGTTACAAGTGTATGTTTTAAATATTTCATCCGTCTCAGACGTATGTTGCATTCAAGTGTTTTCATGTTGCAAGTGTTTCGTGTTTTAGAGATATGTTCAGAGAGTCATGGGGGCACGGCCCAGGTGCTTGGGGGAAAGGGCACGGCGAGCCGGGGGGCAGCGGATGGAGCGCGTGGCGCGCCTAGGTCGCGCGGACCGGGCGTGCTCGTCCTCATCCCGGCTCTTGGGTCCCGCCCGCGCGGTCAGAGGGAATGAGCAGTGGGGGCGAGGCGGACAGGGGCGGGTACACGTGCAGGACGGGACGAGGTGGATGGTGCACGGACGCATGTGTGCAACAGCAAATGGCGCAACGGCACGGTGGGCGGGCTGGCGACCAAAGTCAGGGTCGCGCAATGGCGTTTTCTTATGGGTTGTTCTGCTAAGCCTTTGGTGGGAGTGTACCATACCGTCCAACGGAATCCTATCCCATCGAACATTCGGGCGCTAGCAATTCCCAACTATTAGGGTTTCAGCTCCTCTACAATAGCAGCAGCCAATGAAGCGTTCAGAAATCATCCGGCTCCTCTAGTCGTTTAGTTCATTTTCGGCCGACTAAGTCAGAGCTGTTTTTAGTTTACTACAGCTACAGTACCAAACAGCTTATTATGGTTGAAGCTAAAGCTGTTTTTTACTACATCTAGAGCCATTCCAGGCCTATCCAGGCTGGGCTTGGTCCATGCTGTGACCCGTGTGGCCAGGTGGTTGTTGGGGGTTAAAGCAACCCTAAAAGTCTCTTTTCCGTTTATATTCTTTTGTATCGATAGAAATAGATATTTTAGTAAAAAAAATTCAGCAACTTCTTTAATTAAATCCTCAAATATGATTATCTTCTATTCCGAGTTTTTTGCTAGTCAAAGATGGAGATCGGGAATGGTTCTATTGTACACATAAGATATAGGGAAGTTCTTAGAGAGCAAAAATATATAAAAAATATTTTCTATTTAAATGGTTCTCCAAATGAGAATTTAGAGAATGAGTTTAAGAAAAACTTTTGGACGTGCTCTTAAAAGCATGTATGTCATGTTTTTTTTGCGGGGAACTAGACGTCATATTTTTATATATAGAAATAAAAGGGGCTTAAGCGTTTCTACTCCTGTTTTGAAGCGAAGATTTTACCCCTGCGATTTCAAAATAAAGGCAGACTTTAACCCTACTCCGTGAAGTCCCTCTAACGGTGTTAACTTTTGGACTAAAGAACAACTTTGCCCGTGCATTTTTACCTCTGTTTATTTTGATATTTGTGTTTTACCCCTTTTTCATATTAGCTATTTGGCAATTTTGATATAGAATTATACAATATCAATCAGTGCAAAACTCAACAATTTTTAGAAAAATTCGACAACATTTCAGCTAACAATCCATATAATCACAAACAGGTCCTTCTTCCTCTGGCCATCCATGGCCATGGTAGCCATGGGAGGCTGCTGGCCTTGTGCTCACGTTCAAGGGGGAGGGAGCTCCGGACAGGGTGGCGGGACGCATGGCAGAGGCACGCCGGGCCACGCCCGCGGTGGCCAGTGGCAGTGCTGGGCTAGGCCCGCTCGGCCTGCACTGGCGACGGCCAGTGATGGTCGGCGGCCTCCATGTGAAGCCACGAAAAGCAGCGCGCGCAGGGGTGAAAGGTCCTCATGGCTAGAGGGGGATGAATAGCCTATTAAAAATTTCTACAACAACACTAAGACAAATGATTGGTCAATAATATGGCGAAGCGAATTTTGCGCTAGCACTATACTTGGGGTTGCAAGCCACCTACCTAATTCTATTTTCTATGATCTCTAGTATATCACAACAAAGCTATATCTCGAATTTACACCTAGGTGATCACTCTAGCAAAAGTGATACAATTAAGTACTACACTATCTAGTCTTGACTACCACAAGCTCTATACCAATGAATGTACAATGAAATACAAGAGAGTGGTAGAGAGGTATACCGCCGTGGCAAGTGATCAATCAATGAATACCAACGAGACAATCAAGGCACAATATTTTTTCCTCCAAGGTTCACTTACTTGCCGGCAAGCTAGTCTCCATTATGGCGATACACCCACTTAGAGGTTCACGCGCTAATTGACATCACGCGCCAAACCCTCAATAGGGTGTCGCACAACCAACACAAGATGAGAACCACACAAGCCACGAGCAATTTACTAGAATACATTTTGGCTCTCCACCGGAGAAAGGTCAAGAACCCCTCACAATCACCACGATTGAAGACGGAGACAATCACCAACCTCCGCTCAATGATCCTCGCTGCTCCAAGCCGTCTAGGTGGTGACAACCACCAAGAGTAATAAGCCAAACCCGCAGCGAAACATGAACACCAAGTGCCTCTAGATGCAAACACTCAAGCAATACACTTGGATTCACTCCTAATCTCACAAAGATGATGAATCAATGATGGAGATGAGTGGGAGGGCTTTGGATAATCTCACAAGGTTGCTATATCAATACAAATGGCCAAGAGGGTGAGCTTGAGCCGACCACGGGGCTTAAATAGAGATCCCTCATGAATAGAGCCATTGACTCCTCTGTCCAGTGAAGCACGGGCTGACCGGACGCACCGATCAGGTTGACCGGACGCTGGACCCCTGCGTCCGGTCGTTCGATGCTCACCACATGTCTCCTCTTTTGATTCTCCACCACACGATCTCAACGGTCGATTCTCAGCATCTTTCGCGATTAAGTGGTGACCGGACGCGCTGCTCAAAGTGACCGGACACTCTATCACTAGAGTCCGGTCGTTTCCAGTAAGGTTCTAGAGAGGCATTTTCTTGACTAGACGTGTCCGATCATAGGCGACCAGACACGGACCAGAGTTCGGTCCTTACTGGCCTGTTCAGATGCTTTCGTCAGCGTACGTCATCACCTGACCGGACGCACCCCAGCGCGTCTGGTCCAATTTCTTCTCAGCGTCTGGTCAAAGGACCGAGGGCGGCTTTCACTGCGCACCACTAACCGGACGTGGGGTCAGAGTCCGGTCACTGCCCAAGGCAGAGTCCGGTCAATACGAAACTTCTCCTTTTGACCTCGAACTTCACCACCCTTGATCAAATGTGCCAACCACCAAGTGTATCACCTTGTGCACATGTGTTAGCATATTTTCACAAATGTTTTCAAGGGTGTTAGCACTCCACTAGATCCTAAATGCATATGCAATAAGTTAGAGCATCTAGTGGCACTTTGATAACTGCATTTTGATATGAGTTTCACCCATCTTAATAGTATGGCTATCGATCCTAAATATGATCACACTCGCTAAGTGTCTCGATCACTTAAACCAAAAAGCTCCTATCAACTTCATCTTTGCCTTGAGCTTTTTGTTTTTCTCTTTCTTCTTTTCCAAGTCCAAGCACTTGATCATCACCATGGCATCACCATCATCATGTCGTGATCTTCATTTGCTTCATCACTTGGAGTAGTGCTACCTATCTCATAATCACTTTGATAAATTAGGTTAGCACTTAGGGTTTCATCAATTCACCAAAACCAAACTAGAGCTTTCAAGGGGGCGTGGGTCTGCATAGAGAGGGGGTTGGGGGCTGGGCACGGAGCGCGCTACCTAAAGCACGGTGGTGTCACAAGGAAGGGGCGCAGCCCGGGATGACTGAAAATAGGAGAAGAAAAGGCCAGTAATGATGGAGTTCACCAAAGTTGAAGAAGAAAGGATGTCGATACGGTCAAACAGGAACGATTCATGCAAATGAGTATACCACGGTGAAGAGAAACGAAGAGAGCAACCTCGTGGTGGTGGTCATTATCGCCA